CTCGAACAGCTGGATCCAATTAATCCACTAGCTACGAGGCAATACAATTGGAATAGGTACAATTGAAACACGGATTTGTTTTTAATTCAACTGATCCATTAATATACATTGATGTTGTATGATTGATAGCTATAGTTATTGGAATCTCGGACATTATGTTAGGGTAGTTCTCGGGGTAAAGCACAAGTGTTCTCGCTGGCATTACCATTAGGCATCATATTCTCATCATCATCAACATTATCATCATCATTATTATTATTAGCATTGCTATCCAATGTCATCGTCCGGACATTGCATATAGATTTGTATATCCAGTCTATAGCTGAGCTGCTCGAGCCGACGTCGAGCGATCGGATCTCATTTGACATCGAGAGTGCGCTGGAACATGTGCATGGCCAACGAGCGCAATCCCTCGCTGACAATGGGCACGTTGCGTGGAAAATCACATTCGCGCGCGGGCAGGCCGCATAGCTGGCGTCGCAGGCGCAAATCCTGGCGTGAGCTCAGCGCCCGACTGCCCGGCCCACATACGTTGCCGACCAGACGCTGGCGCTCGGCGGCGGCGCTGCGCAGGCCCATCTGGACACAGGCCAGCGGCTCCACATGCTCGGTGTCCAGCAATTCGCGATAGTCGTGCGCCGGCGTCGTCTTGCCCGTCTCGGCCGTGTCGTGTTCCGGCTCTGTCTTGACTAACGCCTGATTCTGCTGCGCCATTTGCTCCTCCAGCAGCAGCTGCTGTCGCGATTCCTCAATTATTTGCCGTGCATATTTCGCGCCAGCCATGCCAAAGCTGATGCCCATATCGAGCAGCACACGATGCGGCTGCCATCGCTGTTTGGCCGATGTGTTGCGATCGGCGCCCTGCTGTGCCGCATGCTCCGTTGCCTGCTGACGCGTCTCCGCGATTAAGCCCTGCCAGTCGACGCCCAAAGCATCACCAATGCCTGTAAAGCAAAGTGCATGAATTAAATTTGTGCTGTCATCCTGCATCCAACATTTGCTTGGAAGGCAGAGGATTTATTCATCCATTTTTATCTTAGAGTTCTTGCAGTTGCAGTCTTGTCTCTTACCCTTGTGCCTCGCGTCCTCTTCCAACTCGCCATCGGATATCTCCTCAAAGTCCAGCACCTCGTCCACGTCCTCGTTCTTAATGTTTGTCTGCGACTGACTCTGTGACTGGGACTGAGGCTGCATTTCGCCTTTGATGTGCTCGTCACTGTTGGACAGCGCATCAGCGGACAGCTCCTGGGTGCCAGCCAGTGCGCCCTCCAGCTGCAGCTCGCTCTTGGGCTTCACCTTATCCGTTTTGTTCAGTATATCGTCGTCACTGTCGCTGATCTCGCTCAGTTCGCCGTTGGGCTTTGGCTCCTCTTTCAGCTGACGCAGGGAGGTCTCCATGCCCGCGGCCTGCTCTGCTGCCGGCTCACTGGCTCCGGTGGTTTGACCGGCCTCTGGCACGTCAACGGAATCCTCGGACGCATCCTCCTGCTTAATGTTTGGCAACTTGCTAACCTGTGCCAAGATACCCGGATTGGTGGTGGCATTGGCTGCGCTCTGTGCGGCTGCCTTGGCTGCGGCCACGGCTGTGGTGGCCGCCGCTACGGCGCTGGCCTGCGCCGCGGCATTGCTTGGCTTGGGCTGGGCATGGGCCGCTGTCTGGGCTGTGGACGCCGTTGCAGCTGCTGCTGTGGGCGGTAGATGTGGGTGCTTCTTGAGAAATGTGTTGCCTCCCATGCCGGCGCCTCCGCCATAGGGTAGGCGCTTGTGCGGAAAGCCACGCGTGCTGCCGCCGCCGCTGCCATGATAGCCACCGGGCGGCTGCACCGGCAGTGTCATTAGAGGCGGTGGATGTGATCTGTAGCCGCGCTCGCCATGCTCATGACCGTGCGACGGTGCACCGCCACCACGTCGGAAACCGCGTCCACCACCCCGCTCGCCGCGTGCATGCACATGATGATGCGGCGAGGATGACGCCGGGTGATGAGGCGGCTGCACCTCGCCGCCGTTGCCATTGCTGCGACCGAAGCTCGGCTCATCGTTGTCGCGCCAGTCATTGTTGGGTTGCTGCCAGGGGCGTGGCTTGTCGCGCTGATCGTGCTCAAGCCAGGCTGGCTCATTCTTGACCCCACCAACGTTGCCGTCGCCGCACTCTTCGCGTTCATCGGCATCCCAGTCGGGCTCCGAGGCGGAATGATGCTGCTGCTTGCCCGGCTGCTGGCTCGATGGTTTCGGCCTCTTGGGGCCACCCACGAAACCGGCGGCACGTCCAGGTGTGCCGCTGCCACTGGCGCCACCGCCGCCGCCGCTATTCCCGCCCCCACCGCCGTTATCCTCATCCCAGTCGCGCTCCCATTCGGCACGATAATCGCCGCGTGAAGGCAAACGCTCGCGCTCCCGCTCTCTGTTCCGCTCACGTTCGCGTAGCATGCGCTCCCGCTCCTCGGCATAGAGTGCATCATCGGCGTCCAACTCCCGATAGTCGCGTAGGTCGCGCGCCTCTAGCCACGCCTCTCGATCCCTAGAGTAGCGCGCATCCATATACGCCCGCTTATAGGCCCTGCAACAAAAGAATTGCGTAAAATTAGGATCCGGCATGCGAAGGTTCTGGGATGAATGAGAACTGAGTGGAAGAGACTAAGTCTCATTCTTGCAAACTAGATTCTAGATTCTCAACCCGATTAGAAAAGGCTTTCTTCGGGTCAATTTCTGTGCATGGGCAATCGTCATATACAATATATAGTTACCGCTCTCGCTCCTCCTCCGAGTAGAGATCGCGCGGATCTCGTAGACGTGGTGGATAGTGGTCGGGCAAGGGGCTGAGCTCGCGACGCCTTTGATCTCCGTAGCGTCGCATCTCGCTGATCAGGCCATGGCGCTCGGCCTCGATCAGCTCCTGTTCGCGCTCGTAGACGTCCAAGTCGCGCTTGTCGCGCACATGACGACCAGCTCGATCCACGGTCTCCAGCGAACGCTCGCGACTGCCGTATGGCATGGCCAATTCCATGTCGCGTACACCGGGCGCACCATACGGTTTCTTGCCGTCCTCCTCCTCCTGGCGACGCAGCTTCTCGCGGGCCAAGCGCTCTCGCTCCCGCTGCCGCTCTTGGCAGCGCGCCAGCGCCTCGGCTCGCTCCTTGTCACGAGCAGCTTCACGCTCGGCACGCTCTCGTTCACGATCGCGGCGATCTCGTTCCCGTTCACGCAGCGATAGGTCATCGTGGCGTTGTAGCTTGTGCTCGTGCCGCTGCCTTTCGTGCTCCCGCTCTACGCGTTCGCGCTCCCTCTCTCTTTCGCGCTCTATGCGCTCGCGCTCGCGTTCTCTTTCTCGCTCACGCTCTAGCGACGGAGTGCGTCCGCGCGTTCGTGTCTGAATAATGATCTTCTCGCGTGACATGAGCTGATGATGCATTCGGGCGGTGGGCGTGCCATTCGGTCCCAAGCTCGAGCCGGGACCTGGACTCTTTTGCCGCTTGCCCACCACGTCCTGATGTATGCGTATTTTGGTGGTGGTCGTGGTGCTGGAGGCGCCAGTAGGGGATCGACTGCTGCCCAAGCGATGGTGATCCCGATCGCGCTCCCGCTCCCGTTCCCTATGCACACTCCGCAGCTTTTCGCGCTCCCGTTCTCGCTGCTCTTTGCTGGCCACACGCAAATGCTTGCGCTCCGCCAGCTTCTTGAGTTTCGCCTGTGTGGCCGGGGACAGGGCGCGATGCCCGTGTCCACTTAGCGCAGCAGCTGCTCGCTTCTTCAGGCGCGCCTCCTTCAGTTTGCGCTTTATATGATTGCGCTTTGCAACTAGTTTCTTCTGAACATGATCTCGGTCCCGGTCACGATCGCGCTCCCGGTCCCGCTTGTCGCGCTTCCGCCGCTCGTCTCCCGATGATGTGCTGCCCGTACGACGCGAGCTCTTCTTTTTCCGGTGATGACGCTCGGCTGCACGCTGATGCGGATGGGCATGACCATGGTGGTCCCGCTCGCTGTCCGAGCTGCTGTACGAACTACTGCCGCTGTCTGTGTCTGTGCTTGAGCTGTCGCTGCTCGAATGTGTGTGCCGTGACTTTTTATACCGACGCAATTGCTCTTTTGCTTTTTTTTCCATCTCCATCGAAATGCACTTCAAGAGTAAAACACACTTTCTTTACTGCCCAATTCTCGTGCTTTCGCCGCTTTGATTATTATTCTTTCGGCTGCACTATTTATGATGTTTATGTTTATTGGTTGGCGTCGTTTATATTTTATTTTTTTTGTTTGTAGATAGAATTTGTCAGCTTATTTATTTTTCTAATCTAGAATTGCATTGTGGGTAAGTTATCGATATATTTTTACAGCTCTGCCGATGCGTTGGCAAAGTTGTGCGCAATTGCCAACAGGTGTCGCCCTAGTGCGCACAAAACAATGGCGCCAAATTGTATGCATATTCGAAATTACTGTGAAAAATTTGGTAACTTATTTAAAATTTCTTATATGATATTGATATAGAAAGAAAACCTCTTCTTCAAGGCTACGCATTTGGTCAACCAGATCATATGATTATATTTACATACAGAATATTGATATAAAAGAAACAACATACTCTTCGAGGCCTCGCATTTGGTCACCCATACTTTATGCTTATATTTACTTTTACAATATTGATATAAAAGATTTAGATAAAGAAACGTTTGGTCATTCAAATGTTGACATTTTATTTTTATATTTACTTATTAATATTGGTATAGAAGGAACATCTTTGAGGCCAAACTTATAATACTTCTTTTTTTTCTAAAGTTTACTTCTTGGCCGAGGCTTATAACTAACAGTAGGCTGTAATTGGCAAAAAAAAAAAAAAAAAAAAAAGAATATAAGTAAGAACATCTTTAGACTTGAGGCACTTGGATTATTCGTAGTTAAAGGTTTACATAATAATAGCTACAGCTTGAAGATTTAATATGCATTATGCAAAATATTCCTCGATGTTTCATTTCGATGAGTGCTCTGGGGTATTTTTTTTTTTTTTTTTGCTGCGCTCACTTGGTTCCTTCTGTGTGTGCTTTTAAGTGGTGAATGCAGATTGGTTCAGCTCATGCCAAAGACTGTGTTAATGATAAAAGAACAATAACAACTGCAATTTATGGAAGGGCCAAGCCGGCGTTCAGTTGCTCTCTCTTGTTAAAGCTTGCGGAGTTTCTCAGGCGCAACAACTGGATTATCGCGGCGTATCTCGGTGGCGCCCATTTCACGATAGTCGAAGGTGCATTCATGGCGATCGCTATAGCGATGGAATGCACAATAGGTGCCACCGCAACGGCAAGGGAATCCGCCGGTCAGACCAAATTTCTTGCCACACTTGTCGCAGCCCTTCTTGCTCGGCTGCTCCTGAGCCTGACCATTGCCACTGTCATCAGCTGATGGAGCCGCTGCCTGCTCTGACTCACCGCCAGACGGTTGCTGATTGCCGCCCTCCTCCTGCTCATCCACTGGCTGGTGCTGCAATATGTCGGGTGCAGCATTGCCTACTTGCTCATCTGTTAGATCTTCGACGCATATGGACAGAGGGCTCAGTGCCGCCCCGGTACCTGGTGTCATATCCAACGGTGCCCTTCCATCCATTCTCTTTGACTTGATCGTGCGCGCGGTGTTGCCATCAGTTGAGATTGACTCAGTTGTGCCCCCCTTCGCATTAGCAAAATCGCGGATTTTTCCATTATCCATCTTAACCGGGTTTTCAGATTCGATTGTCAAAGCCTTCAGTATAATTTTAGTTGAATTTTGCTGCCCAAGTCTACTACGACTTCCAAGTGTCTGAACAGCCAGCAGATGAATGTGCATTTAAGCTACACAAAGCCAAAAAATCAGTTAGTTATGGAACAACTGCTACCAGCCCGGCCCCTAACAATTTATCGATTATCGAATTTGTTGTACTTATTTCTAGTTAGATCAAATAACACTGGATTTTCCAAATGTTTTCGTTCACTGCTCGACTACCCAAACGATTAACCAACACCAAAAAGCCAAACATCTTTTTATCATGAATCGTACTAGCTAAATATGTATGTATGTCTGTATGTATGTAGTCCCAATCACCTAATTATTGCGCCCCTTATCGCCAGTCTAGGCGTTGCCATTGATGACGTCCTGCATGTGGTGGCGATACCAATCGCCGACCGTGGTGCGCAGCACACAGACAAAGGCGCCGTAGCACCAGTCCAGCGCCGTTCTGGCCGAGCGACGAGCATGCGCATTGCAGCCATTGATGGCCGGCACGGTTTGCTCCAGATTCAGACGCCGCGGGCCGCCAAAGCTCTCGACAATGCGCATCGGATCGAAGCCGGTGCCATCGTGCCACAGCTGTAGGCGCGTCCAGAAGCAATAGACATAGCGATGCACATAGGGCACATTGCTATACTGCTGTCTGTCCAGGGCCAGGCGCTGGTTCGGGCTGATCCGCTCGCTGCGGAAGCATTGATCTCGAGCACGTAGCATGGCCAGCGATTGGGCGGATCTGGCTGATGGAGTGGGTGATGGCGATGGCGGGGACGGTGGCGGCAGGGCCGACGGGCCGCAGTTAGCCAGTAGCGATAGCTGTAATTGTTCAATGGGCAATTGGAATTATCGTGTTATCGATAACATGACGAGCGAACCGATTCCTAAAGAATCGCACGTGCAATTTCAAAGTTAATTGCGCTTAAACAGGTTTTATTTTAGCATACAATCTGAGCATTTAAATAAGTTAAGCTAAATTGTAAATTGCACATGAACCACTTCTAATTGCGAGACTCAGATACGTACAGTCACAGTTAAAAGTCTTTGCACAACACGTAATTGTTCTTTGTTCAGTGAGTGACGCAACAGTTTTTTTTCTTTGCCAAGGTTTTTTATCAGCAAAGTTTTGACTAGGTCTGTCCTGATGTACTTGTTGCAGTGCCTCAAGTAGCCTCCGTCTAGGCTTAATTGAGCTAATGACTCACCAGCAGCGGCATCAAGATCAACAATCGCTCGAATGTCATCTTGGGTCCACCTATAGAGCGGCACTGAGCGACATCTGGATAATCGCATACAGCATCTTTGAATTTCTGATTGCGCTTATCAAGCTGAGCTGATCGGCGTTGATAGCCATAGCCATTGCCTTTGCCATAGCCATAGCCATTGCCATTGCCATTGTCATTACCATTGCCACTGTGATTGTTATTGCTAGCCACACTCATGCCGCCCAACCACCCACCAGAAGATCGACTGCAGCAGGAATGACGTCAGCAAATTGGCATTTGGCACGTTACGTACGTAGTTGAAGCCAGAACCGTATCCAGTTGGGTAGGCAATCGAATTGGATTGGCAGTCACAGCTGCCGTTCGTCATCTGTTTTATGTTAACACATAAGTCGGGCATATAATAAGTATTCACAATCTTTCTCTATCTCTGTGTGTGTGTGTGTGTGTGTAGATAGATGATCACTTATGTATGTAGATCATGTGCATATGGAACGCAGCGGCAACATTTTTGTAAGATTCCACACTTGTACTCGCTTGTAAACAATATTTTCGTTTCACTTCTCCTCTGCCCCCTTTTCTTTACATGTACATATAAATATATATATATATATATGTATATGTATATACATATATTTTGTATTTGATATTTTTGGGTGATCTTGCAAATGGCGCAGAATCTAAAAATCCATATCCAAATCGAATTCCCCAGCCCCCCATCACATCGAATAGCAAATCAAATTGAATTCGATTCGACAGGCAACCGAAACGAGCGCATTAAAATTGATTGCGTTTAAGTATATTAAAATCGTATAGAACTTTAGAGCAAATCTCCAAGGCTGCTGGGCCCGGCCTGCCATCTGGACGTGATCATCATGTGCTCCTCTCCGTTCCCTCTGTCTGCAATTATTGCTAACATTTTGCTGCAATGTTTTCTCGAAATTCCCATGGCATTTAGCATTGCAAGATCAGTCAGTTACAAATGCGGAAATACTATATATGATATAATATATGTACAACATCCACATACATATGTACCATAGGATCTAATGAAATATCATCATATTCATGCATATATTTATACTCTGAGATATATTGATATATTATATATTACCTTGATTTCCCTGAAAGGCCGGGATCTGTTCAACTCCAACAGATATACACATGTACATATATGTACATATGTATGTATTTATCTGTATCTACATATTAATCAAGCGGATTCCAAAGGGGTATCTTTAAATGTATTTTTAGTTGGTCTTAAACAAATATTCTTAAGACTTCTCTATTATATTGTACACGCATCATCCATCTAGTTATTCATCCATTTGGACTTCTAAAACTAATTATATATTGACTTATTTAGAAGTACTTACTAAGTGCCCATACAGTCACTTGGTTACCTACTTAGTAATAGCTAATTAAAATTTAAAAAAAACAAACGGGGAAGTTTTTTTCTCCAACTTTTTGTTTTTGTACATATGCTCTGTGTCCCGTTGAAAATGGGTAGATGACGGCATCCATAAGCCATGTATTTTCTTGGGCAGCATGAGGAGTTTTAGCACCACAAATATTGGTAATTACGTCTTTGTAGAAAATAAGGTATGCCACAATTCAATTCCAATAGTCAAGCCCATGAACGCAGTTACACAGCCTGTACGCCTCTCAAGAATAATCCATTACAAGTGCAGCCCGAGCGCAGCCTCAGCACAAACAAAATACAGCCCGGTTGCACCTAAACGCCGCCTAAACGCTGCCTGAGCGCTCGGACTGCGCAGTCGGAGACCAAGCAAAACCTAGCCACACTGCAGTCTAAGCACAACACAAGAGCAGCTTACACGCAGTCCAACTGCAGTCCGAGCAGCTCAGCTCAGCGCAAATACAGCCCAAACACAACCCAAGAGCAGCCTGAGCACAGCTTAAGAACAATACAAGAAAAGCGCAGCCTCAAGGCCTCAGTGTAGTCCAACCAAAGCTCGATTACACTCCGAGCACAACCTTAGCTCAGCCTAAACACAGCCGAAGCGCAGCCCGAGCGCAGGCTAAACACAACCCGAGAGCAGCCTGACCGAAACCCGAGCGCAGCCTGAGCGCAGCCTGAACACAACCCGAGAGCAGCCCGAGCGCAGCCTGAGCGCAGCCTGAGCACAACCCGAGAGCAGCCCGAGCGAAGCCCAAGAGCAGCCTGAGAGGAGGCTCAATGCTGCCTGTGCGCTGCCTCAGTCGCTCAGTCGCAGTCGCTGTGTAAGCTGCGTGTGAGCTTTTGACGAGTGAAGTAACAGCTCTTCCAGACTGAGAGTTCACTTTATTTGCTAGCCTGAGCGCTGCCTCAGTCGCAGTCGCTGTGTAAGCTGCGTGTGAGCTTTTGACGAGTGAAGTAACAGCTCTTCCAGTCTGAGAGCTCACGATATTTGCTAGTCGCATATAGCCGATGCGAGCTTTTTCAGTTGACTTAACTTATCTTATTTACAATATTAATTATTTGCAAGTCATATGTTCCAAGTGTATTCAAATGTAATGGAGCAACAAGAGACAAGAATATTTCTATCACTTTACATGACGCATAAGTACTTACACACACGCACACACATGCAAACGGTGGTTGACTGTGTGTGAGCAGTGCCTGCAACGGGTGGGGAGGGATTAGGAGAGGCAGCTTGTGATATGTGAATGTCAACTCAACGCCAAATTTGCCGCCATCAACTGACGTCGCCGTCGGCGTCGTGACAAAGTCGCGCAAATATTTTAATTGCAATTTTTTTTGCGAGTGGTCGCCGTGTTGGTCGCATCGCATCGCATCGCATCGCATTTTCCTACCTTAAAATTATAAGTTAAATTAACAATTTTTAATTGACTCTGAAAATTAAAACAGCAACACGACGAGAGCTGCAGTCAAAATTTTGCGCCTTTTTTTTTCAGCAAATTTTCATAGATATTTTGTGCAATAAATTGCAAAATATTATTTTAGATTTCATATACCCTAATAAAACAAGGGAATTAAACACTAAAATGGCTATATGAACTAGCCTCAAAATAAGCAAAATATTGTTATAGGAAAGTCGAAATAAAAATGATTTATGAGGCAGCTAAGTGACAGTGGCCGAGGGATATGGCGAAGACAAGCAAATGTTTGTGCGTGTGTATGTGTGTGTAAATATACATACATATGCTCGAATTGGTATACAATTTTGTATATTATTTAAAATACATATGTAGTTTTTGTTTATTTACAAGCTTTAAATTAAAGTCGAAGCTGGTTAAAATTCGCTTGTCCTTACAGGGTATCTTGTAGTTGAGCTGTGCTGTTGTTAATGCTTCTTTAAGGTTATAAATGCAATTTGTATGTATGTAATTTATATTTTGCTACAACTATTTTTAATATTATTCCCCTTACAGGGTGTCTAGTCGTTGAGCTCAAAATAATAATATTTAGTTGGAGTTGTATGAATATACATATATGTAAATTATATGTATTTTATATTTATCGATTTGGCATATAAAGTACTTACAGGGTATCTGACAGTTGAGCTATGCTGGCAAGGATTTTACTTTTTGTCTTTAGGCATTTACAGCAATTTGCTGCAGTCGACCCACGCGGCGTATGAATGGACAGATGTGTGTGTGTGTGTGTGAGTGTGTGAGCATTGAGTCCATGCTTGTATTTGTCATACATGTTTGTATATATATTTATATATGTATTTTTTTTTCTTAGACTATTTTTTGTACATTTCAGCAGCGGAAGCAGCGCTGAGCACATGACACTGAGCAGAGGCTGCAAGTGAATGCAAGTGGATGCCAAGTGGACGCCAAGTGGATGGCAAGTGGAGTGGACTGCTCAGTGCTTGGCGAGCTGGAGAGCGGAAGCGGAGTCTGGCTAGGAGCTGTTGCCGTTATTAGGGCGACAATTTTTGACATGGCCGCTGACATGGCGATGGCAATGCCGATGGTGATCTCGATCTCGATCTCGATCGCGATGGCGTCAAATTTTCAATGGTCAACGGCGCGTAGCGCGGAACGCGTGAAAGCGCCAACAATTTGCACTTGTTGTTTTCGGCATGGCAAGGCAAGGCAAGGCAGAAACTGTGCCAGGCATTTGCGGTTTTTCAATTTGATTACATATTATTATAATATTATTATGCATACACATATTTCGCCCGTAGACTAGCAATTAATAATAGCAGCCGCAGCAGCAGCAGCAGCGGGTCGTTCGCTTGATTTGCTTGGCATTTAATTCAATTTTATTAAATTAAAGTTGATGTTGTTGTTGTTGTTATTGTTGCTGCTGGCACTAGTAGCCGGCAACGGAAATCTTGCGCATTGGCAACACATTCAGCCAGCCAATTGGCTGTCTACACTGCCGCCACCTGACCAACCTGATGACGTGAACGTCAGGCATCATCTGCCTCTGGGCGGAGTGCTAGGGGTGGGGCTGGCGCTGGGGCTGGGGCTGGGCACAGCTGCAACGGAGCCAAAGCATGATGAGACGGTGTCAACATGGGCGTGTTGTTAGTCAATTGTCATGTTGTTCTCGATCACAAAATCTAAAAACAATTTCCCATTATTTGCCAAAACATTCCGAATTTTGGGTCTCTTCACATGATTACCCATTGCAAATGTAGATGCAGCCCATGTAGACCTATTTCTATATTTCATACAATTATTATCCTAGCCTGTGAGAGTCTGTTTATATACATATGTATATTCTTAGTTTTAGCCAAGTTTGACCAAATCCTACTTTGCTCTATTATACTTAATACTAATTTTTTATAGAGCTACACTAGAAACACTTTTCTGTGTCTTCTTTACGTCGTCGCGGAAGCATCCGAGTCTAGACAGCAGCTGTGTTTTATATTTTATATAGCATTGAGTGTTTCCTGGATGTCAGTTCCGGCAAAGGCAATTATATTCAACCTTCTTCTGCTCAGCCGATCCATTCCATGAGGTCAGCTCCAGCCTCTGTCTCATTACACCTAGGGCAACTCGAGCTGTCTCTAACTGGGAAAAGGTTTGTCATGTTCTATGCTTTCACTCTCACC